TAATAGAGATGATTGGAGCTGTTCCAGTCTCCGATTAACTCTATGGTCAGCCGGTGGAAGCGCTGGCTGGTCACTTGGGTCTCCTGGTGGGATGGGAAAGTTTTAGAGAGCCACAGACGGCGGCAGGAGGGGACATACCCCTCCTGCTGCTTGTAAAAGCAATCCAGAGGCTAATTAACCACTAGAATTGGGGGGTGAGGGGGAGGGAGGAGGGGGAAGAAGGGGGAGGGGGGCAGGGAGGAGGAGGAGGAGGGAGGGAGGAAGGGAGGGAGGGGAGGGAGGGAGGGAGGGAGGGAGGGAGGGAGGGAGGGGGGAGGGGAGGGAGGGAGGGAGGAGGAGGGAGGGAGGGAGGGAGGGAGGGAGGGAGGAGGGGAAGAGGGGAGGAGGGGGGAGGGAGGAGGGGAGGGAGGGAGGGGAGGAGGAGGGTCGGGAGGAGGAGGGAGGGAGGGAGGGGGAGGGAGGGAGGGGGAGGGAGGAGGGGGGAGGGAGGGGGAGGAGGGGGTGGAAGGGTAGAGAGGGGAGGGAGGAGGGTTTGGGAGGAGGAGGAGAGGGGGAGGAAGAGGGGAGGAGGAGGGAGGGAGGGGGAGGAGAGGAGGAGAGGGGAGGAGGGGAGGAGGAGGAGGGAGGGAGGGGGGAGGAGAGGGGAGGAGGAGGGTGGGAGGAGGAGAGGAGAGGGGAGGAGGAGGAGAGGGGAGGATGGAGGAGAGGGGAGGAGGAGGAGGTGAGGGGAGGAGGCGAGGGGAGGAGGGAGGGAGGGAGAGGAGGAGGGAGGAGGGAGGGGGGAGGGAGGAGGGAGGGAGGGAGGGGGGAGGGAGGAGGGAGGGAGGAGGGAGGGAGGAGGGAGAGGAGGGAGGGGGAGGGAGGGAGGAGGGAGGGAGGAGGAGGGAGGGAGGAGGGAGAGGGAGGAGGAGGGAGGGAGGGAGGAGGAGGAGGGAGGAGGGAGGGAGGGAGTGAGGGAGGGAGGGAGGAGGAAGGGAGGGAGGGAGGAGGAGGGAGGGAGGGAGGGAAGGAGGAGGAGGGAGGGGAGGAGGGAGGAGGAAGGAAAGGGAGGGGGAGGGAGGGAGGAGAGGAAGGAGGGAGGGAAGGAGGGGAGGAGGGCGAGGGAGGGAGGGAGGGAGAGAGGAGGGAGGGAGGAAGGGGAGGAGGGAGGGAGGGGAGGGAGGAGGAGGGAGGGAGGAGGAGGGAGGGAGGAGGAGGAGGGAAGGAGGAGGAGGAGAGGAGGAGGAGGGAGGAGGAGGAGGAAGGAGGAGTGAGGAAGGGAGGGAAGAAGGAGGAGGAAGGGGTAGGAGGAGGAGGAGGTAAGAACAGGAATCTTATTTAAAAGTTCAGAAAGTTTTTTCTATTCTTTTCTTTTCGTTCTCAAAATAAAAAAAACATTACTTTAATAATATGTAAAATTATTTAGGTAAATCTGCACCACCTAGTTTATGGTCCACAGGCACACCTGCCAGACAGGACAGTCAATTTATAGACCCTCTCTTTATACTAAACTTCAATTAACCAATGCAGCCTGACCCAACCTGATCTGTGAATGGAGAATAAAGCAGTAGCACATTGAGGACATAATTCCCGTACCATGTTCACAGTTTAATGCATCATCAAAAAATAGGAGTTGTAATTAGGAGTGCTGCCTCTCCAGGACCAGTCTGAGTGCTGCTGTGCCAGAGGATTACAGAAGGGTGGATATCAAAACAGACTCAACTACTTGTGCTAGTTATATAAAAAATATACTTAATGGGTTCCTAATAAATATATAACTGGATTAAATAGTATTATATATGAGCAAGCAAGGCGTGAATCACAAGGCCTATGAATAATAAATAGCATCACATTCCATTCGCTTCAATCCATTTGATGTAGATGGCATGCAGGATGGGAAGAGCTGGGGGTCTGTGAAACAAAAGCACAGGCACTCCCCTCCCTAACAATATCCTCCTACAGGAAGCTTTACAGTCATTGTACAAAGAGGCAGATTAATCTGGTGGTTTGTGGGCCAACCCCAGCCTCATGGAGCCTTAGAAATTATAGATCAGCCAAACAGAGCAGGGGTAAAATGTACTTGAAGGGAATCTAGTTTTTTAAATATGAAAGAAACAATTATTAGTATGATGTAAATAGTCTTAGGCTAAGTTCACACATATGTGGATGTGGGCCTGTACCCAGAGTCACAACGGCTGCTGTTTAAAAATGAATGGTACCCTCGTGCGCCTGTTAGTGATTGTAAAGTCTCTCTCTTTTTTTTTTTAATTAAAATAATAAACATGTTATACTTTCCTGCTCTGTGCAATTGTTTTGCACAGAGCAGCCCCAAACCTCTTCTGGGGTCCCGGCTGGAGCTCCTGGCTCCTCTTTTCTGTGTGGCCTCACAGCAAGCTGTTTGCTATGGGGACACGTGTGTGCTTGCTCCCGAGCTGTGTGTGTCTACTGAGCCATGCTCCTTTGACACGCACAGTGCAGCTTCTTCCTGCCCCCTGTTCCTCCAACAATTGATTGACTGCAGCAGGTGTCAGTGGTCAGCAGGACCCTAATGGATGAAAGGCCCTAAAGTGGTTGTAAAGCTTTAAGGTTTTTTTTTAACCTTAATGCATTCTATGCCATAAAGCAATACTGAGGGCTCTTTTTTTTTTTTTGTAAAATAATAAAAACATGTCTATACTTAACTGCTGTGTGCAGTGGTTTTGCACAAAGCAGCCCAGATCCTCCTCTTCTCAGGTTCCCCACAGGCTCTCCTGGTCCCTCCCTCCTGTCAGGTGCCCCCACAGCAAGCAGCTTGCTATGGATGTACCTGCTGCTCCGTGTCTCCATTTACACATACAGAGCTGCGGCTTGCCCCGCCCCCTCTCTCCTCATTGGCCGACTAATTGTGATTAACAGCCTATGAGGGGGAAGAGACCTGGAACTTCCGAGGCTGTCATGAACATCGCTGGATTTCAATGGGGCTCAGGTAAGTATGGAGGGGGCTGGGGGCACTGCTGCACACGTTTTTTACCTTCTGTGTGAAACCACTGCACAGAGCAGGCAAGTATAGCATGTTTATTTTTTTTAATTTATTAAAAAAAAAAAAGCTTTAAAACCTCTAAATTAAAAAAAAGCAGCCAACCTTTAGAACCAATTTAAAATGCAGAGTATTTTCCCATGCACTGAAATACAAGTTGCCAAAGCACAAGTTATTTACATTTTTTTTTAAGTCTCAAGACATGATTTTTTGCATCTTACATGAATGTTTTTGTATCTTCATCAATATCCTTCACACATGTATACTTCCTGATGAAGCCAGGATGGCGAAACATGTAGAAGACTGTGTAAAGGATTCTTAGAACATCCCCAACGTAATGCAGTGTGTATTCTCATCATTATCCTTGCACTACTTTTATTGGTTTTAAATATCTATTGTAATAAAATTTTGTGACATTTTAATGGTTACATGTTTGGTTATAAACTGTGCACCTCAAAAGTCCCATTCCCATTATCTGTACTTTGTTATGCAAAACACCAAGCGGCTGCAGTTTTAGAAAAGGATCAGTGACTTTTTCCCTGTGTTAATCCGTGCAATCGTGGCTGCACAAAAATGCACAGATATGAATCTAGGGTTCTAGATATAAACCCTGTGCATTTGTAATTATATATGCACATGGGGGCAGCCATATTTGCTCATTAAATACTCAAGCTATGCTTTCTGCTCTGCAGCTCAACTGTTCCTTCTCACATATCAAGTCTGAGTCAAGCGACTCAAAACAAATGTCACCTGATCTTTATTTCAACTGTTGTTAAGCAGTTATGAAGGGTTGTTGTGCTGTTGTAGCTAATCTATAAATCTTACATTTATATGGGCATCTAAAATGCTGTTGTTAAGCAGTTATGAAGGGTTGTTGTTGCTGTTGTAGCTAATCTATAAATCTTACATTTATATGGGCATCTAAAATGCTGTTGTAAAGCGGTTAGGAAGGGTTGTTGTTGCTGTTGTAGCTAATCTAGAAATCTTACATTTATATGGGCATCTAAAATGTTGTTAAGCAGTTATGAAGGGTTGTTGTTGCTGTTGCAGCTAATCTATAAATCCTACATTTACATGGGCATCTAAAATGCTGTCTTTAAATGCTTATAGTGTAGTTTTCTAAGCATCTAAAAGCAGCACTAAAGGAATCAATGGGGCTAGAAACACAGCTATGCCTACAAACAAAAATGTGCGCCTCATTTAGCAAAGTAAAAAAAAAAAAGCTGGACATAACTGTATCCTGGCCCATACATATCTACAAAGTTTATGTGTAAACACATGAAAACAATAAATACATTGATGCTTAAGTATTGTATGTGTCTAAATGTGAGTACGCTCAGCACATATTTTATGCAGAAACTTCTGCTAGCTCTGCCTGCAAGAACCTACACTCCATATAGAAAATATCCATATGTCTGTGTGAAGCCTTAATAAAATGATAAAAATAGCAAAGAAAAAACAGAAAAATATAAAAGTCAGTTTAAATTTTACTTTAGGTTAACAATGTGATCAAACTATATGTTGACTAAAAATGAAGCTTTCCATATTCTCTGCCTTTACTGAGAACAAAATCCTCTTCACTAAGTAAATACAAAACACACAAAGCACATCTCCCCACCATTTATCCTGTACTCTCTTCTTCTAGAGGGTTATCAGTTAGTATTGTTCTCTGCTATCTACTTAAGACTACAAAACACCTGTCCCTGTTATAGAAAAGAAAGGGAGGTGTCATATAGTCCTAACACAGTGTTATGTAGTCTCCAACACACTCCCTGTCCTAGTGTGACAATGCTGCAAGTATGACTGTTACCCTAAGACTGGAAATGTTAATGGTAGGGTTATCAGATGAAAATAAAGAAAAAAATTGTGAAGAAAGAAAAAAAACAAAACAAAAAGCCACCACACCTACGGACCAGTAAGATGCAATACTATAAATTTTTGTTTTCAGGTTTAGATACACTTTAAACATTTGCTGTAGAAATTGTATCAGGTTCTCTCTTATTACCAGTAGTTCATCCATGCTGGTCTGACATTTTTCTAGATTAATCCTCTTGATGGCCACCTTTTCTTTCTTGGGGCTGCAGTAAGCAGCTTGGACCACAGCTGTCGCCCCACTTCCTGTAGAAAGATAATTGGTACATTAGTTTGCAATGTACACTGCACAGCGTACGAGTTAAAGTTCACACAATACAGACAGTTCAGTTACAATTGGTTACTAGCAGGCCAAATCACATTCAAAAATCACCTTTTAAACCTTTTAGTAGTAAAATATTCTCACCTAAATCCTAATTCCACCCAACTCAGGAATTCTTACATAAACAAATTATTATATTGTGCTCTGCCAAAAGATCCCCCATAATGTCAAATGGCAAGAGAGGGACACCTTCGTCACAAACTTGCAGAAGAAGGAAGAAATATAGGATACAAGTAAGCCTCAACATTAGAGTCTCTACCAGGTGTCTAAACAATCTAGGGGAAAATTCTAGGTTGAGTAATGCAGACCATAGATGGGTCGAAAATCGGCCGATTTTCTCACCGTTAGTGGGTTAATTGGTCGGCCGTTTTCGGGATTTTGCACATTTTTTTTTAGCGGTAAAGTTGGCAAAAAATCGGCGATTTTCCCGATCGGACGATTTTCGCGGCAATGATGGGCAAATCGGCCGATCTTTTTACTGACAAAAAATCTGCGCATGAGCCGTGACCTGCAAGAAGAAGAAAAAGAATAAGAATTCCAGTCCGCTATTATATTTGAAATGAAAAAGTATAGCGGTTGCAACATTGTATCTATTTGTATCCAAATAAAACCATCTACTGTATATCTGAAATGGATACAAATAGATACAATGTTGCAACCGCTATACTTTTTCATGTCAAATATATAATAGCGGAGCTCTCTGAAGAGGGACAGAAGTAATTAAATGCCAGCTCGTAGATGGAACGAAAATCGGCCAATTTTTTTGTACTGTTGGTGGTGATGTCGGCCTATTGAACGACCAATTTCAATAACACTCATACCAAGGATGAAAGCCCATTTTTCGTTTTTTGTTTTTTTTTAAAATGGACGGTTTTCGACCTGTCTATGGCATGCATTAGTCCAAGGGAGAGACATATCCCATACAGCTACAGATCTTCGCAGATCAGTACTTGCCTAGAAACAATACAACTGTATATACTACATGCCTGGTACGGTTTATAGTGCTACAACTAGTATATACTACATTAGTGCTAAAAAGAACACTTTAAAGGAGTGAGCTCCAATCCCGTCATCCAGATCTCCGTTTCTTTACCTATGGAATCAATGACCTAGAACAAGCCTGCAGGACAGAAGCTCCCACTATTCAGCTTTTTCTGGCTGTGCTTGTTTCAGGTCAATAACACTCATACCAAGGATGAAAGCCCAGCAGTCTTTATCTGTGAGTGGTGACAGTTTAGGGCTCATTCACACGTGTTTAAAAATACTGCCAAAAAACAAAAAAAAAAAAAACTCGTGAAAAAAAAAAGAAACTGCGCTTATGTGAGAAATTATATATAAACTAAAACTGTGCTCTCAAATTTTGCCCATAAGCAGTGGCCCTACAAGATATTTTTCACAGTATAGCAGCAATTAGAATAAATCAGGACATGCTAAATTCATAGATAAAAATATTAAGTATCAAAAGTGTCATAAAAGGGCATAATAAAAAATAAATATGACAATCGCCACCCAAAATAGTAAGACTACACGCTTACCTCCTCCACGTTCACATAAAAGCATAAGGACAAACCGCTTCCATAGTGTAAAATGTTTCCTCATACCATTTATTATAGGTACTTACAATATTTCAATAAAAATCGCGCAATATAAATCCACTTAGCTGGCAAAAGCGCACATACCACCCACACCTCTGGGAATCTAGGAATGTGATGACATCAGCATGAAGGAAATCCCTACGCGTTGTCACACGTGATGTCATCTGTTGAGACTCCAGCGGTAATCCACTGGCTTTTCTGTTACAAATAAAAATATGTCCAACAATGCACTTTTTTTCTAATATGCATAAACCGATATACACTATATTGCCAAAAGTATTGGGACACCCCTCCAAATCATTAGATCCAGGTGTTGCAATCACCTCCATGGTCACAGATGTATAAAATCAAGCACCTAGGCATGCAGACTGCTTCTACAAACATTTGTGAAAGAATGGGTCGCTCTCAGGAGCTCAGTGAATTCAAGCGTGGTACCATGATAGGTTGTCACCTTTGCAATAAGTCCATCCTTGAAATTTCCTTGCTACTAAATATTCTACGGTCAATTGTTAGTGGTATTATAACAAAGAGGAAGCAACTGGGAACAACAGCAGCTCAGCTATGAAGTGGTAGGCCACATAAAATGACAAGAGAGGGGTCGGTGCATGCTGAAGCACACAGTGCGCAGAAGTCTGCAACTGTCTACAGAGTCAATAGCTAAAGACCTCCAAACTTTACGTGGCCTTCAGATTAGCACAACAGTGTAGAGAGCTTCATGGAATGGGTTTCCGTGGCCGAGCAGCTGCATCCAAGCCTTACATCACTAAGGGCAATGCAAAGCATCGGATGCAGTGGTGTAAAGCACGTCATCACTGGACTCTAGAGATATGTGTTTCCTGGAGTGACCAATCACGCTTCTTTGGCAACCTGATGGTCGTTTCTGGGTTTGGCAGTTGCCAGGAGAACAGTACTTGCCTGACTGCATTGTGCCAAGTGTAAAGTTTGGTGGAGGGGGATTATGGTGTGGGGTTGTTTTTCAGGGGTTGAGCTTGACTCCTTAGTTCCAGTGAAGGGAACTCTTAAGGTGTCAGCATACCAAGACATTTTGGACAATTTCATGCTCCCAAATTTGTGGGAACAGTTTGGAGATGGCCCCTTCCTGTCCCAACATGACTGCACACCAGTGCACAAAGCAAGGTCCATAAAGACATGGATGATTGAGTTTGGGGTGGAGGAACTTGACTGTCCTAACCTCAATCTGAAAGAACACCTTTGGGATGAATTAGAGTGGGACTTGGAGCAAGGCCTTCTTGTCCGTTATCAGTGCCTGACCGTACAAATGCGCCTCTGGAAGAATGATCAAACATTCCCATAGACACCCTCCTAAACCTTATGGACAGCCTTCCCAGGGGAGGTGAAGCTGTTATAGATGGAAAAAGTGGGTCAACTCAATATTGAACCCTATGGACTAAGACTGGGATGCCATTAAAGTTCATGTGTGTGTAAAGGCAGGCGTCCCAATACTTTTGGCAATATAGCGTATATCTAACCTTTGAGAACCTTGACTTTCTCTATATTATTGAAGAATCTAACCACACCCACTGCAAAACACACATCATGATAATTCATGTAACCCTGAGGCTGGGTGCGCAAGACAAAAGTGCTCCTTTGATCACCAGAGATCACCCACAAAGAAATGGTAGTGATCACTACAGATATAGTTGCATGTTGTAGCTATTGGTGGCATTGTGCACTTATGGTGAAATAATTGTTCTTACATGCAATACTCCTTCCACATTCCAAAAGAGAAGCAAACCACAGTCAATTGTTTAGAAGCCAAGCAACGAAAATATAGTCTAGCAAGTGTTTCTCATGCCTAAATATGTGTCCATCACAGAAAGCATAGAAGCTATACAGACCATGAAAAACAAAACTTGTTCTTCGCAAAAATGTGGTCGCCTGTGCAGTTCACTGCAGCTGTGATTATTTTGATATATTAAAAACAAATGCTAGAATGTGCAATTCAAGCCAAGAAAAAGGAGAGTGGAACTCCAGTCAAGCTATAAAGAGTCTTCTGACTCCTCTTATCCACTACATCCCATTTTACCTACTGTTCTCTTGCAGAGTTTAACCCAAAATGTTTAGGTAGAAAAAAAAAAAGAGGGGAATGAACATAAAGGTAAAGGCTACTGCAATCTGTATGTTTTAGCTTTGGTTCATACTGCCACATTGCATGTGATCCGCACCGCATTCCCGCGCAAGTCATATGTGTTTCTCTGTGGTGCGATTTGAGCCCATCATTTTTTATGGCTCGTCGCACATCTGCACGAAAAAAGGTGCCTTCATTTTTTTTTTCCTCACTGGAATCAGTTCACATGGGTATTCATACTGGAATCAGTTCACATGGGTATTCATACTGGAATCAGTTCACATGGGTATTCATACTGGAATCAGTTCACATGGGTATTCATACTGGAATCAGTTCACATGGGTATTCATACTGGAATCAGTTCACATGGGTATTCATACTGGAATCAGTTCACATGGGTATTCATACTGGAATAGTTCACATGGGTATTCATACCTATGCGATCCGATTCAGGCAAATGCACTGCGTTCTGTGACTTGCTTTTGGGGTAACAAAAATCTTATGCATGCAGCTTGCCCCCTCAGCCCCCCCCCCCCATACTCACTTGAGCCCAAACTTTATCCAGCAGCGTGCACAAGAGCCAAGGCTCTCTCACTTTTCATTGGCTTAGAGACAATAGCAGGAGCAGCTTCTGCTGCACCAATCACAGCCAGTGAGGAGGGAGCGGCAGGGCCAAGCCGCACTCAGTTTGTCTTATGGACAAACAGTTCATATATTTATTAAAAACAAAAAAAAAATAGAATGTTTAGAATCACTTTAAGTCTTTCTGCTGCTCCCTACACTCCTGCTGCCCTACTGAAAAATACTTTTTCAGCACTTTCTTCTACAAGGGTACTATTAACTGCTACCTGCGTGTGATCAGGTAATTGTCAGGTGGAAGTAGGAGACACCAAGCATACAAATTCTGACACGACTGGAGGAACATAATCATCTTCTATGTGCTCCATGAGTGATGTTCGGTGCAAGTGGCAGATACATTTTTGAAGGCTGGTATATCCAAAGTACTGCACACCATGAGTAATGTGCATTTTAAGTGGGACTGTCCAGACTTGTCGGTAACATGTAAGAAAATTTGCCAAAACTATCTGATCTGTTGTAGGTAATTATTGACACTTAAAAACGAGTAAGGCCAAAGCTTATCAGGCTGTACTTCTCGAGGGTCACAAAAGTACATTTACTTATGTTCTCTTATGACCCAGAGTCAGCTGATAGTGAGCTATTGCTCACTATCAGTTGATGGG